TGCGTGGCTGGCATAACGTGTGAAATCAGCTAGGTTGATTGCCGTATCAACCGATAGAACGACTGGCATCTCCAGAAAACTTGTTTGTACGTGCCTCTTTCCCCAAGCCAGCCTCCTTCACTGCTAGTGGGAAAGAGGGTTTTGTTAACGGCCTTGTCGACGGTTTTTCTCAGTTTTTTCTCCACTGTCGTTCCACTTCGCATCTCTATACTCAGTTTCAATCGCCATAATACCCCCTTATTGAGCCCGACTTTTGCCTTTAAGCAAGGAGTGAGAGAGTTCTTATTCATCTATTTGGCAGCGAGTGGTGCATTCCTAAGTTACTTACGATCACATTGTTCTTACAAGGAAGGTCTTTCAGGGTGTGCCAAGCTTTTTCAAAACGGTCTTTTGCATGATATAGGGGCACATGCGGGAACCACAGAACCATGGTTCATTTTTCCTGAACGGCCCTCTGAATACCAAAAAGGGGTCCCTAGTTCGATTCCTCGTGGTGACAAATTTTTGCATTTCGAGTTGACGTTTCAAAATTCGCGCAAAATGGAGTTAGCATGAATAATTAGTACCATATTCATGATTAGGACCGTCAGTAACCCTTAAATAGACTTTGATTAAAAAACTGGTGAAAAAGGTGTGACACCAAGCACGGCCCCACTGTGATGTCACAACTTTTCCACCAGTTTTTTAATCAAGAGGGCCGTTCATGAAAAATGAGCCATGCTTCTGTGGTCCCCATATGTACCCTGAACGACTTCTCTTGTTAGCGTTAGACCACATTAAATAATCCGCTGCATTGAAATTAGAGGTTTTGGGTGGTCAATCTTTGTACGGCCACAAGTATGCAAAAGTAGATGTATTAGGTTGTCTCATAAGTAGTGGCGCATTTTTTCAAACGGAAATTTTTCTTGTGAACCTCTAATGTTTTACAATGTTTCATATACCATTCGATAGGAAATTATCTGCTCTACAAGAAGGTATGTACCCTTTTTTTTGATTGTTGCAAATTGTTTGAGTTTTAGGCATGCAAAGTGGGAGGTCCAGACGACGAATTTTTGCCAAACCGACAGCTGACCTAAACTTTATACTTCCCTAGAAGAAATCAATCAATAATGTAACTATAACTTACTCATAACCTCTACTAAACATTCCACATTTAGGTTCCCTAAAAGCTTGTCTCGTTTAATTTTGAGATTTAGTTATTCCAGTGCAACTCGGTGGTTGCCTGTCAACCCATAGGGCTTCCTTCAGACTGATATTTTCCATTACATTCCTTAGTATTGACGCTACTTTATACACCTTTATGAAGTGCTTCTTCTGCTCTACTCTACTGCATGCAAACACTAATTTTGGATGTGACATACTTAAAATTTAGGTGCCTTATTTAGTGTCTAATTGGCAACAATGACTACATCACTTCAGGATTTATTTTCTATCAAAAAATAACAATCATTCAGTAATGTACTCTCCTTCATTGTTTACGACCTCTTCCCAGCGATGAACAAGTTTTTCGAAGCCTCGGCGGTAGAAACCTTCGGGTCTGGTTTCAAAGAAATCGTCAAGCCAAACTTTCAATTCCGAGTTGTTCTTAAAGGAGACACCGCTTAGAGCGTTCGACAGCGACCGGAAAAGATGAAAATCCGAAGGCGCTAAGTCGGGGGAATACGGTGGGTGCGGAAGGACCTCCCATTTGAGCTCTTCCAAAACGGCCCTCGTGATCCTGGCCACGTGCGGGCGAGCATTGTCGTGCTGGAGAATGACATCGCCTTGGCGATTTGGCCGTTTCTGCTGGATCGCGTTGTTAAGCCTGCGCAGTTGTTCAGCGTAGAGCGCAGCGTCGACGGTCTCGTTAGTATCAAGCAGCTCGTAGTAGAGGATTCCCTCCCAATCCCACCAGACGCAGAGCATTGTCTTCTGTGGGTGCAGCTCCTGCTTCACTCGAGGCGTCGCTTGCTTATTGGGGCTGACCCATTCCTTCCGATGCTTCCTGTTCAGATAGAGGCACCATTTTTCGTCGCCTGTCACGATCCGGTAAAGGAATCTCTGCCTGTGATTGTGAGTAGCTCTATGACGCGCAAGCAGAGAGGCGGCAATGGAGCAACGTTGAAGCTTGTCGTGAGCGCTCAAGAAGGTGCGGCACCCACGCGCCAAACTTCTGGCTCTTTCCCATCCAACGGAGTTGTCGAGAAACGGTGGCCTTAGAACAGCCTATCTGCTGACCTAATTCTCGTGTTGACTGTCTCGAATCCTCCTGGACCAGCTCTTGCAGTCGCTCGTGGTCGAATTCACTCGTGCGTCCAGGAGGAGTATGGTCATGAAGCTCGAACTCACCACTTCTGAATCGCGCGAACCAACGCTGTGCTGTCCGTTCCGTCATGGCGTTCTCTCCATATACTGCGCAGATGTCGTGAGCGGCTTTTGTGGCACTCGATCCTTGGTTGAAGGTGAACAGCAGAAGGTGCCGGAAGTGTTCCTTTTCGTCGACTTGACATACCACCATTTTCTATGCTGAAACTCGACAGGATTGAAATCAAAACCAAATTCTGCATGCGGGTAAGTAGAGCAGAAGAAACGCTTCCTACAGGTGTATAAAGTAGCGTCAATACTGAGGAATTGGAATGGAAAATATCAGTCTGAAGGAAGCTGAAGGCAACCACCGAGATGGGTTGACAGGCAACCACCGAGTTGCACTGGAATAACTAAATCTCAAAATTAAACGAGACAAGCTTTTAGGGAACCTAAATGTGGAATGTTTAGTAGAGGTTATGAGTAAGTTATAGTTACATTATTGATTGATTTCTTCTAGGGAAGTATAAAGTTTAGGTCAGCTGTCGGTTTGGCAAAAATTCGTCGTCTGAAGCTCCCACTTTGCATGCCTAAAACTCAAACAATTTGCAACAATCAAAAAAAGGGTACATACCTTCTTGTAGAGCAGATAATTTCCTATCGAATGGTATATGAAACATTGTAAAACATTAGAGGTTCACAAGAAAAATTTCCGTTTGAAAAAATGCGCCACTACTTATGAGACAACCTAATACATCGGCTGGCCCCCGCAAGTCATTGTATAGGCCACATCGCATTCAAATGCCACTGCGAATGTACAAATGGAAGTAGAATGCGTGCCGCATCCCAAAAAGGGATTGATCAACGGCAAATGCTTTATCCTTTATCCTTTATAATGAAAAGCTCATCAACCAAAAGCGTAAGTGGCCGCATTGCCCATTAACACATCGGCTTAGGCATCCAGAACGATCCGTGAGTTTCATCACTGTTTCAGCCCTCCAAGAAAGCTACATGTAACCCTTCGCTCCTCTTCACCATCAGACTCGGAGAGCTGAATAAAGGTAGCATTTAAGAAGTAACTCTGAGAAGAGCGTCGCTTCAGTTTTCGACCCAGGAAAAGTACAGAAGGTGCAACAGGTCACACTTGAAAGACAGAAAGTCTCATAGAAATGAGAACCATCGAGCGTGGAGCATCAGATCGAGCCAGTCATTGCATGGCATGCGCTTATAATCTGATGGAAACATCCAATAGAAGTTTGGCACCGTTTGACAAATTTCAGGGTTGAAAGTAGAAAAATCAAACAGGAACACTGAATGATACAAATGTGAAGTAAACTTCCAAAACTAGCGATAAACCATAGAAACAAATAAATTCTGAAAACCCCACGACAACACATACAAACCCGGATTCTGCGCTCCAGCGACATGTTTCGTTTTCCGCTCTGATTTGTTAATCATATGTACACTGCCGTTACAAAGCGGCTACTGTGAAAAAGCCATTGTGATGGTGAATTCTACAGTCCAACCGGTCAGTGGGCAACATCCACCCCTAGCCCCTTTTTCTAATGATGAACTGGCCATTGAGCATTTACTCATCAACAAGAAATACGCAAAGTGCAGATAGCCGAAATTTTCGTGAAATTGAACACGCCTGATGCCGAAAAGGAAATTGAAGCTAGACGTCGACTTTAATTTTAGTGCCATGGTAAATATTCAGCGGACCTTTCGCAGGAAAAAACAGCCACACTAAAGAACAAAAACCGTGCATAATTGGATTCTCCGTCGAAAATGAGAAAGTATCTCGATCACAACAGTGACGTTTGTGACAACGAGCTTAGGCTCGCGATACGACTCATGCATAGTAGACATCCCCACTCACTGCTCAATCGCAACAAGGCTTTCAGGTGGAGACGCTAGTAGTGACCTTACGTCTCGACGAGATATTCGTCGAAAACCAGGTCCACCACCCGGTTACTAACAATAACTGACCTCGAGGGGGGAGGGTTTTTCTACTGTTGCGGTAGAAAGCCGAGTCCTTGAGTAAGTGATCATCGGAACCGCCAGCCATTATGAGGTCTCCACTCAAAATCCTTGGCAGACGGAAAACATATTACCACGACGCCAATGTCCTACGAATAGAGAAGGTGAACAGTACTGCACAACGTTTCCGAGACCTCCGAGAGGTTTCACTCCGCTGTGCTTTGGGAATCTTATACGGGCAATTTCTCGGATGAAAGGATATCAGCAAGAAACGTGTCAAAATCCTTCCAATTCGTGCACATCGCTCATTCCGCTTCCAGTCTCAATCTCCAGACGTCGGGGCAAACGATTTTGTGTATCCATAGTAAGATATTCCCAAATTCGTTTTAGCAAAAGCTGTGAATTAATTCTTCACAGCTTTAGCCCTATGCCCTATTGCCAATCTTCATGACCATATGTCATTGCTTATACTATTACCAAGCCTTTTAGCTTGGGGTACCGGCTCGAGAAGCTACGTAGAAAGCCGCCAAAGCGACCCATTGTAAGGCTATTTTGTGCATAACAAGTCTTCAGGAGGACAGAAATCTATCGCAGCCCCCGTTTTATGACTGCTCTCTTCCAAGTTATGTATCTTGTTGAACATTGGTGTGATCTTGTTTGCAGCCTCAAATTTAAAAGCACATGTTCTCGGTCCAAACGAAATATTTTTGATCGGAATAAAAATTATAATATTCTCTAAAACTTCCAAATGACTGTTCAATAGATTTGGATGTTGAAAAGGCTGGAGTTCAGTAGGCGAGAAAGTCGGCAACAGATCGTTTGATCAGCATTATGCTTAAAGGCAAGAATCAGGACCTAATCGATGAGGTGATTCCACTCAAATGTAAAAATAATGGTGGGAGGTGGACATTCAGTGGAGAAAAAAGGAAAGAAAATCCTGAAATACACAGGAAATACGAGCATTTTGTTCAATGCTGTACGAAGTTCAAAAGACGGCAGGGAGATGAGAGATAATGTGAGCGCAGAGTGGTAGAGAAGTCGAGAAGAGAGCATAGCAGATCAACGCAGCGACGCAGACAAGATATCGAACGGTGGGCGGACCATGTTAAGTTTGGTGGAGTCTGTTAGAAGTCCATGGCGCCTAGGGTCCTAGTGACGCGTTTCGATGTAGAAAGGTGGCGCTACCTTTGCACTTGCGTACCCAGCACTTCTAGCCATGGTAAGGGCTTCTTAGGTGGGTCTGAGCCCAAACTTTGCCTTTAATCTCTTTGGCAGGCAAAAGGACTGCTGTACCTCCTGTGCTTGGTTGGAAGTGCACGATGGGACTAAGCAGCAGTGGAGAGCACAGTCGGTGGTACCCGCTTGTTGACTTTTTTAGGCTTTTTCCCTCACCTCTATATTTAGGACATCATGTCGGTTACTACTGATTTGAAAGCAACCTGATCAACAGTTCATGCAGAATTGGCTTTCCGAAAACCCTCTGCTAAACATAGTGAGCTCTGATATTCAATCACCACCACCCTAATCTCCTTTGAAGCTCTCCATCACGCGGACGGCATTTTGAATCACGAGTGTGCAGCCAATTTTTTGTGAATTTGGGACCAGATGTTCAATTGATTCCTGACTTGCATTTGCGACTTCTTCCCAACCAAATTTAAATATAAACAGGAATTCGGGCAACAGCCTTTTTAGTATCTTTTATTTGACTTCGAAGAAATGACTTCGAAGAAAAAGCGAGAGAAAGTGCTCAAGAGGAAAACAACATTACCTCTAGAAAAACGTGCTCACTAACGATTTATAAGCTAGAGCAGTTTCGTAGAAATAATTCAGAAATAGGCATTCAAAATTAAATACCGAATGCGCCGGAAACTTTCCGTACATTCCAATACTAAAGGCAGCGATTACGATAAAGAGGGAGCGCATCGGGGAAGCATATGCACCACACGAATCAGTTACTTGGCTGCCAGGAAGCGAGGTGTGGCGCTTTCACGACGAAAGGTGCGCTGGTTGCTGAGCAGGACTTCGAAAGCGCTCCGCCCCCAAAAGCGATCCGCCCACTAGTTTAGTTGGTGATTTGGACGAGCTGCGTTGCCAGCAGCGGCACAACTGGAGCATCTCGATTGGAGCGTGGTTTGGCATGGTGCCACCAAATGCTTTGCGAT